CTCTCTCTCTCTCTCTCTCTCTCTCTCTCTCTCTCTCTCTCTCACACACACACACACACACACACACACACACAACTTCCGGTGACTCAGCCCCGTGGTCACGTGACGGTCCGGTCCCCGGTGCCGCTGTTGCGGAGCCGAGCCGGTAGGTGGCGCTGGCGGGGTCGTCGTCGCAAGCCCAGGGAAGTCCTCGCCTCGCCGCGTTGTCCTGTCTTCCAACAGAAATGGTTGTGGGTTCGACTCCTAACCCCGGGGGATTATACATCTTTTTCGTGCACTCTTTTCCTCACACGGAAAATTAATGTCCATGTCCATGCACGATTTTTGGTTGTTGTTGTTGTTGGCAGCGGCACTTTTACGGGCTTCTCTTGAGATGTTTATTATTTCGTGCTTTATCTCAGAAGCATTGTACCAATGTCAAATACTTGCTCCTATTCTATTTGTATTTGTCTCGAGGCAACGACTTCAGGTCGTTACTCCTCGCGGTCACGGCCAGGCCAGTCCGACGCCGCGACGTTAGAGTTCAACTTGCACTTACGCCCGCGAGCGAAGTCAGTCACGGCCGACAAGTCCAGGCGCCGGAGCGCCTGAGAGCAGAGCAGAGCTTGCAGCGGCGCGGCCTCAACGCAGCCACGGCACCACTGCTCCCTCGGGCACGGAATGTTGGCTCACTCTGAAAATAAGACTCGAAATAGTTGAGCACTGACCGAGTGAGCTGACGGCATGTTCCGAGTACTGATCGGGAGTCGGACCCAGTCGGGCCATGACTGACTCAAGAGTGACATTCTCAGACGCCCGACACTTACTGTATCTGTCTTTCGTATATTTAAATGTAAAAGCAAAATACTTCGTTGTTTTCTTCATACCGCCTGTATTTCTCCTGCACAACTTGTTCAATCGAAAGGCGGCGGAGAAGGGGGATATCTGGTTCTGGAGCTCGCCGGTCCGATCCTTGAAAAGAAGGGGCCTTGAATGCAACCTGCAATCATAACGCCCCCCTCCAAAATTTCACCGTGTAGCCGGTCGGTCCATGGCGTCCACGACGACATTGGCCATCCTGGCAGTTCAGTTTGGCAGAGCAAAACTGTTGTTTGAGTACTTTGCTCGGGATGAGCCGTGTGTCTACGAGGGTTGCCCGGCTCGGGTTGCCCTAGGTCAGCCGTCGTCGCCGCGGCGTCCGAATAATAGTCTTGCTTCGGCCTGCCGCCCCTACTGGAAAGTTGTCCGAACGAGCCGCGCGGCGGGCTGTCTCCGCAGCGGCCGGCCGGCGGAGCGTGGCGCTGTCTGGCGGCGATTGTCCGCACCGCATCACCGCGGCCCCGCGACCCCGCGGCGTGCCCACCGCACCGCGGCACCGCGGCAAGGAGATGGCAAGGGTGAGGTGGTGAGGTGCGGCGGGCGGGGCGGGGCGGGGCCCGGGCGCTGTTGTGTTGGCGAGCTGTGCGCGGCCCGGCCGGCCCGGCGCTCTGCCGTGCTTGCTGCTGACTCCGACTCGACTGTCAGTCCGCCCATAACCCTCGTCGTGGTGTCACCCCGCTGCCGCCCGCGCGCTCTCCCTCCCCGCCGCCGACGCCGAGGCCGAGACGGCCGTCCGTCCAGTCCCGAGGTGCCGCCACCGCCGTCGACGCCGAGGTGCAGAGAGATTAGACTGCCGTGCCCGTCCCTTCCGGTCCCGGTGGCGAGAGGAGGTGGCACCCCTGCGCGCTGCAGTAGCAGTAGCTGCAGCCGCAGCCTCCCGGGTGCCTTGGCAGCCTGCCCAGGGAAGTCTCCACCTAGCAGCGCCACCAGCACGGCCCCGCCATGAACGAGGAGGCCATGTGGAAGTCGTTCTACGAGCAGATGCGGGAGAAGGCCGCATCTCCAGTGCCTCACGCGCTGGATAGTCGGTAAGGATCGGCTCGGCACCACCCGGCCCTCTGACGAGTCTAAGCGCTTTGTCAGTCAGTTTGGCCCCGCAGGCACCCAGTTAGGCCCCGACCGTGTCAGTTAGGATCCAGCCGTGTCAGCTCGGCCCCGTGCCCTGTCAGTTCGGCCTGAGCCGTGTCAGTTGCAGCGGTGTCAATTAGGCTCCAGCCTTGTCAGTTAAGTCCCAGCCGAGTCAGTTAGGCCCCAGCCATGTCAGTTAAGCCCCAGCCGTATCAGTTAGGCCCCAGACGTATCAGTTAGGCCCCAGACGTATTAGTTAGGCCCCAGCCGTGTCAGTTAGGCCCCAGGCGTGTCAGTTAGGCCCCAGCCATGTCAGCCCTAGGCCCTCGCTGTTTCTGGCCCCTCGGCCCCTATAGCCCGTGTCAGTCTGACATCTCCCTGGCGTGTCAGTTAGGCCCCTGAGCGCGGTGGACCGCTGCTGGCCTCTGGCCGGCGCGGCGTGGCATGGCACGCTGGAGCGTGAAGGACGAAGCTGTGAGGCTGCAATGCTCTACAGCGCCGCGCCGCCCTCCAGCAGACGCCCTCGTGAGTGTTTTGCAGTCGCCGCCGTGGGAAAAAGCTTTTGCCTCGTTTCATGTAAAGTTGCCATTCATTCGTAAACGACTCGGAGGGAATCCCAATAATACTTCTCTCCCCAGCACTACCACCGCCCCCTTCCTCCCTCCACCTAGGCCGGCGGCCGTCCGTCAGCTGACTGGACGCTTCGCGGTGTCCGCTGCGGTACCCGACTCTGCTCCGACCTTGCCCGCCTCGCCTGCTCAGTCAGACTGACTCACCAATAAACCATAACTCCAGGACACACAAAACAATTTGAAGTAAAAAAAAAAACATACCAGCTGGAACGAAAAAAATAGTCGCATAGTATATGCGAACGTCAGTCGAGACGTTTTAGTTGCAAAAGGAAAACTGAACTGACTCACACCACCGTTTCTGTGATATCTGCTATTGACGGTCGAAAAATAACGAGAAAACTGGGTGATGTGTGTGGGGGAGCGGTGACTTATCTTCTTGCGTCGAGACGAGGAGGGCCTGAACTGCCCTTCACGTAGGCGGGCCGGTAAGAAGACCAAGTTTAGAGAAAATTATTAAGGCGGAAGAATAAGGTGCCGTGGGACAGCGATCATCGGTGACGCCACGACGGCAGAGGACGTCGTGCGTCACCTCGCGTGTGGGCTGCCTGCTGTGCCTCTATGACTACCGGCAGGGCAGATCCGTCGTCTGTCTCTCTTTTCTCTTTCAGCTTCCTCCTCTCTCCTTCAGGTTCTCTCGCCCGGCGCCGCCGCCGCTCGGCCCGGCCCGCCCTGCCCACGGTCCGCGCGAGGACCGACGAGTTGTGCCTCTCCGCGAGGCCGCGGCGGTTGTTAGGTATTTTGGAGCCTGGAAAATATGGACATTTTTCCAGAAAAAAATGAAAAAAATGGAAATATTTTCAGAAATCTTCGGGAGGAAACGAAACTATTCTGAAAACATTAATATTTTTATTATAAACTTTTAAAGAGGAATCAAAAATACTCTCTGGAAGTTTTAATGAAAAAGCCTTAGCGAGGACTCGACGAGTTCAGCCTCTCCGAGGCCGCGGTGGTGGTGGAGTACCGCATCGCTCGATGGCACCACCGTATGGGCCCGCGCCCGGTGCCGCCCTGGTGCCCGGCAGACTTGAGCAGGCGGTGATCTCATCGGGAGTGTACAAGTACACTGCCGAAACGAAATGAAATGAGAAAGTCGTTTCGAGCGACCGAAAACCTTCCAGCCGGCCGGGAAAACCGTATTAGAAAATGGGAGCAGCGCGGTCGCGTGATATCTCCCCCGTCCCCCATGTCATTTGTACGTGTCTGATAGTGCGGCCCTCTCCAGCCCGACCTGCGACCTGCACTACTCCTCGTCGGCCGTGGGCGCCATGCGGGCGCTATCCGTCACCCCGGCGTGATACCATGGCGATGTGACCCGTTGGTGGTGACCTTTCTCATTTCTCGGCTTTTAATGGAGTTCCATTACGCCCCATAGGCGGGGTCCGTGGACTCGAAATAACGAAATAACCCATCGACCTGTCTCTTCCGTTCGAATCACACCTGTTGATCGGAATGGGATGTGAATGTGACAAAGAAGTACCTACCCCCCCCCCCCCCCCCGGAAAAGGAACGGTTTGGTCATGATTAAACGGCGGGGCCTGGCTCCAAGAGGCCAGGGCTGGGCGTCTTTGGCTCATGGCGCATTCACGGCCAGCGGTGCCCAAGGACACGGGGGCGGGAGGGGGGCGGACGGGCGGACCTGGCGAGCCTCGGGACCCACTAAATCTAGTGGGTCTGCGTCTTGCGAGTGGGGAGAAGCAAACCGCCAGTACTGCAACCTGCTGGAGAGCACGCCGCCCACGGGTTAAAAAGTTATGGAACGAAATTCGTTCAAGGCGAAAAAACTTGCTGGGTCAATTAATTGTGACCGATTCTACAGGGAGACTACAGCACGAGCACGACACAGTTCCCAAAACCCAACAGTGTCGTTCAATTGGGGTACATTTACCATAGCCTGTAACACATTTATACTATAGACCTGATTAGAGGATCGTGCGATAAATGTAACCCGTTCCCCTCGAAAATGTTTTCATAATTCGTGCGATGTCGCGTTGTCGCAAAGAAAAGTGCCGGTCCGGCGAGCGCCGCGTGAGAGGCCAAAACGACGAGTCGGGCTCTGCCCGTTGAATGAACGACAATGTGTGAGTGAGTGCGGAGATGACACGTGGGCGTGCCCGCGCGGCCGCGGTGGGCGTGCAGGGCGTGCAGGCGGAGCGCACGCCCGCCGCAGCCTTGTTTGGGGCGCCCAGGTCCGGGCGGAGGGGAAGGAGGGGGAAGGAAAGCCCCCTTGCAGTTGCTGAAACGAGCATTGATTTTACAGGAAAGCGCTGCTTTGTGTAGGGTACAGTACCGACGAGGCGTTCTAAACTTCGCAGCGGCCGTACTCTGCCCGGGGCCAGCAGCGGGGAGTATCGCGGCGGCAGAGCTACTCGCGGGTCGGCTCGAGGAGTAGCGCCGCCGCGGCCGGGTTGTACTGTACTGTGACTCGTTTGTAACATGTTTGTCGTCCTCGTCCGTGTCCGCAGGGTCCAGGAGCTCGACGGCGGCTTCTTCGAGAAGTTCGGCTCGCTGCTGCAGGAGTCGACCGAGCGCGCCGACGATGTCGCCACCGCAGCCGGAGCCGGGGCGTGCGCCGTCAAGCGCTCGCACCAGCTGGGCGCCGCGCCGCCCTCGGCGAGCTCCGTGGCCGCGGCCGCCGAGGGCGAGTCCGCCGCGGACGTTGACGCCGACGGCGCCGCGGACCCGGCCCTCTCCGACGTGCTCGAGGTCGGCGGCGACGGGGACGTGCCCGCCGTGGCGCTCGGGACCGCCGGCCGCATGGACGCGTCCGACTCGGAGACCGAGGACGCCGCCGTGCAGAAGAAGGTCTTCTCCGACTCTGTCGGGTGGAATGTGAGTACAGTCGGCTGTCAGACCGACATCCTCCTCCTCCTGAGCTTGAAAGACCCCTCATGCACATGCACACACGTCCGTCAACCAAGCGACGTACACCACACACTCCGCTACAAAGTCTGCGGCGCGAGCTGGCCACCGTCACATGTCGGACAACACCCAGTGCATCACGATGTAAGCACACTGAGCACACCGATCGGATCCCACATCAGCGGCGCCATAAACTTGAAATAAGCGGCGCCACCGTCGTGTGCCACCGCCATCTGCAGAGATGGAACGCGACGGACGGCGGCGGCGTCGGGAATTCAAGCGCGCCGGCAAAAGAATGAGCCACGGTCGGATTGTATAGCGAATCGGCCGCGACCGCGCTCCGCTGGAATCCCAGGATCGCAAACATCTGCTGTAGAGGAGGAAGGCACAGCAGCACTTTTGGAATCCCCGAGCCGAGCGCAACTTTGCCCACAAACATGATCTGCTAAGGAGCGACCAGCTCTGGTTCAGAGATCCCCAACATTTCTGATGGTGGCCCCTAATACCATACTATGGTTGCCAACATGGGTCATCCAGAAAGTAGGCGTCCCTCCAAAGTAGTTCAGGCTGAGGCAGGCGAGCTCTCATAGCGCCTGTTGGGTAGGCAACATCGCCCCTGCAATGCATGCGTGTGTAGCGGGGCGGCCTACCCCTGGGCTCGCAGGCGCCGAGCTACACTGTAACCAGCTGAGAGAATCTCACAAAAACGGACGTCCTTTCTGGATGATTCAATAACAGGCAGCAAAGCTGGGACTTCCCTGCGTGTACGGTACGCGCGCCCTCCTGGACGCAGACGCGCTTCACTGGCTGAGGGAGAGGGTTCGTCGGGTTGCGTTTATTATCGTTCGCGGTGCTCCGCCGGTGCTGCCTGCTCTGATGGTCGGATTGGGGTCAGCGGAGGTAAACAACGCCCTGGCTGCGCGCGCCGGGTTGTCGGCGCTGTGCTCTGCGCAGCCCTTGGGGACGGCCCAGCGGCCGGCCAGGCGGCAGGATCACAGCAGCCGCTGAGGCTGGAGGGCGACCCTCCTCGGGGCTACCCCCTTAAAAAATGCCCGATAACTGTCCTCGTTACTTTTGAAAATTAGTCATGAAAAAATCGTGAAATAGTAAATCTGTGAAATTTTGGGATAAGATATTGCAAAGTTGCGTTTGTTGTTTGAAAGATATCAGAATTTCTAGGTGCGTACGGCGGTGGCGATCCGGTCGGGTCCAGTGCCGGGCAGGGGTGCGGGCGGCCAGTGAGTGCGAGAGAGAGAGCTGCCGTGGAGGGTTGGGGAGGTGCCCGAGGGGGTGCGGGGGGCTCTAAACATAGCGCGCCGGGGCTGTGGCGGGGGGCGGCGCGGGCACCTCCACCGGGGGCGGGGCGCGGGGGCACCACCGGGGCCCTTGGGCTCCTCGGGGTGATTATCTAGTCGGGTCCCGACGTGCCCGCCGTGCCCACAGTCCGCGCGTCCGCCCGCGTCCGCGAGGGTCCACGCGACGACGCGACCGGGGCTGGCGCGCACCCCACCACGACCGCGATGTGTAGCATCTTCTCGTCGTGCGCGGGGCTCGGCACCTCGGCCATCTACGGCCCCGTGACGCCCAAGGCGCCCGCGCCCCCCGTGCGCCCGCGCCGCAGCCACAGCGCGAGCTGCAGCAACCTCTCGATGGCCTCCTCCGGCACGGCGCCGAGGCCCGCGGCGCGCCGCCGGTCGCGGCCCGCCACCGGGATGGGCATTCACAACGGCCTCGGCGCCGTCGGCGAGGTGGAGGTCGGCTCCACGCCCCGGCTCTGGCCGTGGATGCTGCAGGCGCAGGCCGCCGGCGCACAGCCGGCCGTGGCCGTGAAGGGCGCGGCCTCGGTGCAGGCGCTGCCGGCGATGTCGCTGGACGGGGCAGTGACCGACGCCACCCCCGCCCCCGTCGAACTCCCACGCTCACCGACCACCACGTCGGCGGCTGCCTCCAGGAGCTGCACCCTGCCCGTGCAACGGAGCAAGCCGTCCGCGGTGACGGCGGTCTCGGGGCTGACCAACGGCAGCGCCGTGACGGGCAGCGACGGCTACCTGGCCAACGGCGCCGCGGGCCACCGGCCGTCGGGCCACGGCGCGGGGCTCCTGAGCCGCGCGCGCAACGTGGTCCGGGCGGCCTACGGCTTCCGGGGCGTGCGCCGGGACGTGCTGCAGCGCCGCACCGAGGAGCTCATCAACTCCATGACAGTAGGTGGCGTGGCGTAGCTGCACTGCTCCACAGCGCGACCGAGCTAGCGCGGCAACTGATTCCATTCGCGACCCTGTCACTTCGGTTTGATATCAAAATCATAATGGACTGGTCGATCGAGAGGATGCCAGATTGATCTCCAGACTCCACCGACCGAGCCTGGCTGCTCGCCGGAGACCCCCCCTCCCCCCACCAGTTCCACCCACACTTCTTCCGACACAGTGCTAGTTAGCTAATCAGGGAAAACGACTTGAAAGCCTCAAATCACCTTAATCAGCTTAAAGGCGTTCAACAAGCTCCGCATGCTGGCAGCTTTCGAATCGAGCCAAAAGAAGAACTTGAAAAGAGGGATGGACTGTTTTCTTGAATGAAACGTGTAGAATTCACTAGAGAAACACGAATAATACTAACTCCGCCTCCATTCATCTCTGCTCGGGTCTAGGCCATTCAATGATGACAGATCGGCCAAGGTGGTTTCTGTATTTCGAGCCACCACTGGTCGAGGCGCCGCCCGCCCCTCTCCATCTGCGCACCCCTGCGGACGGTTTGAGCGTTTGCGTCGCTCGCGTTCGAAAGTGCGGGGTGGCGCCGTCGGCTGCAAGTCGCGTGCACACGGCCAGGGGAGAGAGTGAGAGCGAGCGCGAGCGCGGAGGCCGGGCGCCACCTCCTCCGACGCGGTCCTGGGCCGGCGGCGCGGGCGGAGGAGTACGAGGTACCGCGCCAACGGCCGCCGGGGCCGGGGCTGCCCGGTGACGTAAAGGCGCCGTCCGCCCCCGCTCGCCACATACACACCGCGGCCGCGAAGTTTACCCGAGCTCGACCGCCAATCGATCGACTTTTTGTAGCAGATCCGCTAAAAACAAAATAAATAAACTTTATTTTTAAAGTTCTCGTGTAGTTTCGACGACGGGGAGGGTTCGAAATGCCGGCAGTGTGCTACCTGCCGCCGGGCTGCCCTTTACGCAAGACTGGCCCCGGTCCAAGACCACGTCGTCGACGACGAGGAGGTTTCCCTGGGTGGCGCGCGGCGGCCCGGCGGCTGCGCAAAGGGGGCAAGGACAGGCGGGCGGGACCCCCCTAGGCTGCCCTAGACCGCCCTGGGGATGGGCTGACCGAGGCCCACGCTGTCTAGGTCTAGGCGATGAGGACAGACGCGGACGGGCCCCGCTACCCTAGGCCTTGGCCACTCAGGGGCTCTAGCCGAGGCCCGCGCTTGTCTAGGGAGGCCTAGGCGGCGGCCGGCGGCCAACAAATCCCAGCTCGCGCCAAACCAGTGACGTATATCCTTGGTGTCACTGGTGATCGCCGCATTGCCATTCGAACACAATGCGCATCACACACTAAGACGTTGGTCTCCAGGGCCACCACGACAATGTCCATGGCCCGCATCCCTCGCTCATTTGTATTTTCCCGCCTCTTTTGCCGAACCTCCTCGACCGCGTGCGTGAGCGGCCGGGAGCTGACCGACCAGCTTACTACACGTTGACGCTCTTCGTTCCAGATCGAGGAGCTGTACAGCGAGGTGCTGTACCTGCTGCTGCACAATGTGGGCAGCGACGTCACGACGGCCAGCGACCGCGACGCGCTCTGCCGCCTGCTGCAGGATGCCTTCAAGATCGACGAGGAGAAGCACGCCGAGCTGCTGTCGACGGTCGAGGCCAAGGAGGTCCGTGTAATGCACCAACGCTGGTTTAAAAAAATAATAATAAACTCGTCGATAAACGACGCGTTTTAATATTGATAACGTAGGCGTACTATCATTATTTTATTTTATTTTTTCCTAGGCGCCGAAAATCGTCTTGAACGTGGAAGTTCTGGAGGCGCAGGATTTAAAGCCAAAGGATTCGAACGGTGAGTTTCACTTGCGCCACCGTGCTGCTGCGGTCACATCCACTGTCCGTGTGTTAGCCTGACTTTTGTTTGTGTTTCCTCCCAGGGATGTGTGACCCGTACTGCACGCTCTACCTGTCGTCCAACACGACCCACCGCTACAACACGTCCGTCAAGCAGCAGACGCTCACGCCCACCTGGGAGGAGCACTTCTCGCTGTGAGTCCCGCTGCCAGGAGACGTTGTTCATCGTCCTCCTCGTCGGCCGTCCCCTTCTTATTCCCCGCCTTTCTGTCCCTCCCGCCCTCATGCAGGCCGGTGAACAACGCGACCGACGACATCCTGTTCGTGGAGGTGTGGGACTTCGACCCGGCCGAGACGGTGCGCGAGAAGATGGGCAAGCTGACGGACATCAAGGGCGTGCGCGGGCTGCGCAAGCTCGTCAAGGAGATCGCCGTGACGGCGTCCACGGGCAAGCACGACAACGAGTACATCGGCACGGCGCAGGTCGCCCTCAACGTGAGTTCCAGCCAGAGCCGAGCACTTACTAAATACGTCATTTTCAGAAGTGGGGTACTTTTTTCACGGCCCTCTATTAGAGTTCAGGGTTGAAAATGGAAGCTTTTTTGACGCTATGGTAAAGCTACCCCACCAGAAAAAAATGACCTACGGGGATACAATTATCATGGCCTCCCAAACACTCCCGTTTGCATTGCTGAGTTCGAAAGTACCCCACCTGTCGAAAATGACGTAATTTGTGCACGACCCCAGAGAGGGTCCCGGAGCCCCTGTCAGCGGCTGGGGTAGGCTGTACTGCACGGCAGTCGTGCGTTGCGGGAGTGCCCTTCACCGTGGGGGCCAAGAGGGTGATTATTTATTTTTCTGATTCTTTTTGACAGTGCGTCCCCACCGGCGGTCACATGCAGTGGGTGAACCTGGAGAAGAAGAACAAGACCAAGAAGCAGGGCGTGGTGAAGCTGCGTGTGGCGTTCGGCGCCGAGAAGAACGCCCAGGTCGCCCTCCAGGAGCACCGGCACCTGCTGAGGCTTCTCCTGCTGCACCACCTTGACAGCACGAAGGTGAGGCTGCTGAGAAAAGACGTTTGGACTTTTCATACAAAACAACACCGGAAACCCAAGTGTGTTGAACGCATACGGGAGGCACAAGTGGGTGAATTTCAAAGGAAAATAATTCCTTTTCTCCATTAAATGTAAGAATGGCCAGTCACACACCCACAAGTGTGTTACATTGACACACTTGCGTTGCCGGTGAATTGACACTTAAACTGATAATCATTATACTTTCTGCGCTTTAACTTTCAACACTCTTCTTTAAAACCTAAAAATCTGCTGGTACTACAGATTGTCTCTGCGAAATGTCTTTAAGTATCTATTTGTGATTTAAAATTTTAGCTGGAGCCATATGCGTGGTGTGGAGAGTTTGACGAACTCGCATCCACCATCCTCAGACAGCACGCAGTCCAAAGCGGCCTTACTGCCTTTGATCAAACTCTTGCTCGCTGGGTGGAGTTTTGCTCAGTGCATGTGGACCATCCCTTGAGCTTTTATTTATTTGCCCAGCTGGGAAACCAATTGCAGAAACCCATTACAGATGGAATGTTTTCAACAGAGGAGGTAATTTTACATTTCCATTTTTTCATAGAAGGCTTCTATTAATCATGTCTTACATACTGTTTAAACAGATTAATTAATCTTTACAGATAAAACACTTTTGGGAAGCTACTAAGAAATTCCTGCCATCCTGTATGAACTCTGTTAGGAGACTGCGCAAGATATCAAACTGTGATAGGGGCACTCTCTTACAAATAACAGGCATAGTAAAGTAGGTTCATTAACAATAATTCTATCTGAAAACTTGATTGCTTTTTATGTTGATTCTGAATATCAAGTAACTTTTTTCTCTCCTCACAACAGCACATTGTCCTCTCTTGCAACACTAACTCCACCAGAAGGAACAGACCTCTTCCCTAGATCTGTGTATGGCTGGCTCAGCAATCCCACAGATCAGCCAAACTGTGATATTAATGGTGTTTTGTCTGATGCTGTGAAACATGGAGCTGAGGAATGGTAGACAAAACTACATTTTTATCTACAAAATCTTATCTATTCTTTGATATGCTTTGTGTTATGCATGAGACATGTTTGGTTTCAGGCTGTGCCATATTTTGGAAAACAATACAGTTGATGGTCCATCAGAAGAAGATCGACTGAGGCATGTGATCAAGCTAGTTCAATTAGTTCGATCTGATTTGCTAAAAGCCATTGAATACCATGATAAAATTTTCTTGAAAGGTATTGGGTTGCCTTATTCAAGTTTGCTGTATAGAATATATGAGGCAAAGGTAATATTTTTCTAAAACACTTTTTAAAGTTTTATTGATTGGTACTCTTTCCTCATCATAATATCATTATTTTAAAATTTCTTACTTCATTTACGTAGGTTTGTGAAGAGGCTGAGCCAGTTGTACAAGATGTGTGTGATCAGCTAAGACCAATTCGAAGCAATGCTGATGGAATTCACATTGAGAATGAAGAACCGTTATCGATGGGCACTACTTTGTTTGAACTCTATTTGGCCATGCAGCGACTGTCCTTCCTTGGGAGCACACTATGCCCTAATGATCTTGAATCTCTTGCAATTGCCAAATTTCACAATTGGTTCCATCGAGGTGTTGCTCAGTGGCTCGAAATTGCAAGCTCTAAAGCCCTTCAACGTGTTACAAAAGCTGTAGAGCTGGATACTCTAGTTCCTGTGGACTCAAGTGTAAAATACAGCTCATCAGCTGTTGACACATTCGCTATATTTTATCAGGTATCTACCTATTTTGTGAGGAATAGAAAACTTTGCAGCACTATAGAAGCATGATGATTAACAGCTCTCTGTTTCAGATTAAAATATTTTGGCAGCAATTGGCATGGCCTGATGTTGAAGGATCCTATACCTTTGTAGCAAAAATTATTGACGTAAGAGGCTTTAATTTAATTTCATAATCTAAAATAAAATTTAATCCTTTGAAATTTTTAACTATGATGTTCCTCTCACAGGATATATGCCGGTGCTCAGAATTTTATGCAGACAAAATGAGTGAGAAGATAGATTCTTTCTCAGAAACCAATCAGGGCACAGTTCACGAAAAAAGATTTCAGGTGACCCAAGAGGTAAGCAAATATAACCCCCTTGGTTTTTTTTGTTTTGTTTTTGTTTTTTTGTTGTCTTTTTATACCAAAAACCCTATGGTTTTAAATTGCAAAAATTTAATTTCAGTGGTGCCTAGCAATTAACAACATTGAGTATGTAAGGCAAAGTATTCAGCCATTTGTTGCTGAGCTCGGCATGGACAATATCTTGGCAGCATTGGCCGACTTCCAGTCTGCTTCAGCTGCCGAGCAATGCAAAAATACATTACATGGGATAATAGAAAACTCCATTGACATTGTTCACAATAAAATTGTGGATTTATTGTTGACAGTTGCCAACAAGGTACAGCACTAATTTTTTAATCGTGATTTTTTGAAAGAACTTTTTTTTTTTGTGCAAACAAAATGTAACAAGTATTTTTCTAGATGGATCCAGCTATCCAGCGTTTTCTGCAAGAAGGAGCTGACCTCTTGAACAAAGATTGCAATGCTGTGGACCGCCTCATGCAGTATTTGGATGAAAACTTGGTCATGCTTCATTCAGAACTAAATAGTGAAAATTTTGATAGAATTCTGTCTATAATGTGGAATAATGTGTCAAACATTCTCTCAGAACTTGTGAAAAATAGCCTGGAAGTTAGTAGCATATTATAAAAAATTGTCCAAAAATACATTGAAATAGTTTCTTTTTCAACTCATAATTTCTTTCTTTTCTTTTGTAGAAACGGAAACCACCGTCATTCTTTTCCAAACTTCATGAAACTCTTGATATCCTAATAGGATTCTTTAAGCAAGGAGATCTCCAACAACAACTCCAAGAACAACAAAAAATTGAACAGGCAAGTAAAGTCCCTAAAATTTAAAAGATGTCTTTATTGATTTGTAACAGCTCATATTTATCTTCTATTTTATGCTCTTTCCAGATGAATGGCATGAAAGAGCAGGAGGAGTCAGTTGACTCACCATTTGACAGCCATGGGGAATTAAGAAAGGTAGAACGTCTTTTACGTCTTCATGGGATGGAGACTCCAGACCTCACATATCAGTTTTATGTGCAACGGCTGTTAGAACAAAGAAAACTCCAATCCATGGGTGACGCTCATTATCAAGGGCTTTTGACTATTCGAGCTCATTTTGTTGAAGATGTCTTAACAATTGAAATTATGAACGCTAGGAACATTAAACCCATGGATTCAAATGGTAATATGAAAAAGAAGAAGAAATGTGTTAAAGTTTTTTTGCCCCGGACATTTTTACTCATGTAGACTATTTCGTTTTAGGTTCCTGCGATCCCTATGTCAAAATTCATCTTCTACCTGAAGACAAATTTGGAAATATTCAAAAACCACGCACAAAGACACACAAAAAGAATCTGTACCCATTGTTTGATGAGACTTTCAACATGTAAGTTTCTACAGTTTGCAGTAAGAGCAGGTAAATAAGATGATCAGCTCTAATTTTTCTTTTTGTGGATTTTCAGTCCTGTATCTGCAGACCAGAGAGCCCAAGGAATCATAGCATTTATCTTAAAAGATCAAGATTTTCTTGGTATGAATGAATTCATTGCTGAGGCGTTCCTTTCTTTTGAGGACATACCAGTAAATGATTCCTCTGTTAGTCTTCATAGTTTACCGCAAGTGCATTTGAAATTGCATAGACCACAAAATGTCCTTGGTTGGTATTCTTTCTTTCTATTCTGGTGCACAGTTCAATAAAAGGTGGTCTTGTATTTTATCATTCAATTTGATCTTACAGAATCGGATGTAATGAAAGCCCTTGAACATCGCCAAGGAGACAAATTAGCAAAAGACTTTGTGAAACGGCAAAGAGCTAAGTTCGGCGAGGGAAAACAACAAAATGGGGGTAGCAGATAGGTTGAATACTACAAAGATGCTGAGCAGTTGTGTCTGTAAACTGCCTACATTACTTATTTGTTTGAAAATAAAGACTGGGGCCATGTTCCTGGCCAAGTGCTGTAGTGATATTATTTATATCACTGTCACGATGACAGTGACATTGCATGAATGTATGTATTTTTTTATAATGATAATTTTATGTGATGGCTTGTTTTCTGACAAGTATTGTGCTTTAGGTTGCAATCTGTTGCGCTATTTGAAAACCCAACGACATTAAAGAGGTTTATTGCATACCATACTGGAAATTTATATAATTTATATAATTTTAAAAAACAACAAAGAGAGTCTTATGCAGTATATGATTTAAGCATCGACAGCAATTTTATTCTTAGCATTTGTTCTGTATTTCATTTTTTATTTGCTGCAATATTAATGTGTATGTCGACTGATACTTTGTAGAAAACAAATGAATAATTTATTATTAAAATTATTATCAAACAAAATGGCATTCATTGTTCCCATGCCTTGTGCCCATGCCTAGTGCGTGAAAGTACGTCAGTCATTTGCCGTTACGAAACTTCAGTTGAAAGTGAAGTCAATGGCCTTGAGAATGGCACCTCTCATAGCGCCTGATAGGTAGGCAACATCTTGCTTAGCGCGCATCCGCGTGCTGCGGGTTGGCCTACCCCGAGTCTCGCAGGGGCCGAGTGCCAGTGATTTACCGAATGATTCTGAGAAAACCGAACGTATTTTCTGGATGATATCCCAGAAGGACAAGCTCTTTTATCACTGCAGTGTTAACTCTTTTCAGTGCCAGAGTCGCAGCGAGCGAGGTTAAACGCGGACTTTTGTGGCGGCGCGTATTTCTCACTTTTGCCTTGCCATGTCTACCAAACTAATGCGCCCCATGCCTGTAGCTACACAGTTGTAGCTGCCAACGACGCAGGAAGCTTCACTCGAACAGACTGCAGACCAAGTCCGTTTAGGCGCTTTGGCATGGCATCGACAACCCCCCCCCCCTCCCCCACTTCGCGAAGGGAAGTACATTCAAATACATTAGGTGCCCCCCCCCCCACAGACAAAAACAATCAAAAGTGGAAGAAGTGCGTTCGCACACCGCATTTGTTGGGCAACTTCGATGATCGCGGGAGCAGCCGGCTTCCAACTACAGTGGTCAGAACATGTTCGCCCGCCTCCCCTGTACCTCTCTTGGCCTATGCGACGGGTGTCATCAAGGTGAGCGGGGAGTTGTCTCACAGATTCCGGGGGATTCGAGCTCGAACCGCCCCCGCGATCGCCGAGTCTCAACAAACGGCAGCGTGCCTACCCCGAAAAAACTACCTCCGAGCCAACAACAACAGCGGAAAAGATTCGGCGCGTCTTTAGAACCACCCGTCGTCCTGCCCTCGGGCCGGACGCGTACCCATGGCCCGCAGAGGGCGGTATCAAAGGCGGGCCCGCCCCTGCTCGAGGTCCCCGTCGTCGTGACTGGACCCGCCGGACCCACCCCCGCCGGCCCCGGGCCGGGCGTCCTCTTTCTTTGCCCGCGCCGGCCCGGCTCGGGCCCGGAGGGTTGGCAACACTGGCTCCCGCGGTACGGAAGCAGCGCTGCGCGCTTGGCGGCTGCGTAACGGGCGCGGCGGTCAGCCGGACGAGGAGGTGGACTGGACTGCTGTGGCGGCTGCCGAGCTGAGCTGGCGGCGAGGCGGAGGAGGAGGAGGAGGAGGAGGAGGAGGAGGAG